AAATCTTTAAAAAAAAATGCATTTAAAAAAAATAAAACTATAAATAAGCATGTGGATCTTTATGTACACTAGCAAATGAATTTTCAAAAGACTTAAACTTTACCTTGCAGATATCGGTGTGTTTGTGGTACTATTTCACCAAAACCTTCCAGTAATAAATATTATCACTTGAAATTTTTCTAAACAATTGGCCTTTCAATTTATACTTGCAGTAAGATGGAACATTTTTCAGTATATTGCTTTTACCATCGTATCTGTGGGACAGTCTCACCTGTAGATTTTATTATATGCACAGTTTAACAATTGTCATTTAACACAGGTTTTAACACATGCATTATATTTTCAAGGAATAGGAATCGTGATAGAATAAATAATATCCACTACGTGCAGATTCCAAACTGCTTTCCAAGCCAAAGTGTTTTAAATTTGTACAGTACATATTCCTGGGCCTGATACTCATCTAAAGATTCTTTTTCTTCAATTTAGCTTGTCCCCAAATCTGATTTCTCTTCTACCTTCACTTAGTTATGGCGACTGACTGGGGAGGCTAGAGGGGTGGGAGCAGGGGAGGAGTTTCCCAATGAGACCTGAGATCCTCACTGGGGGCAACAGAGGATGCCAAAATCAAAGGACTAAAACTAAACAGGGCCAAAACCATGCCGGAATGTCATGTGAAAGGCCTAAAAGGGAAACCACAAGAATTACTGACCAAATAGGAGGTCGGGGGGCAGTGGCCCAAGGCATAGTATCTATGGATCCAGAAATCTAGGGCCAGGTGCAATAGAGCCCAGGGAAGGCTCTTCTCTGTGAACTGTCTGGTGAATGGGAGTTCTGTCATCTGTTTGACTTATATCTCTTGCCATATTTTTTTAAAACTTTATTTGACAGAGGGTGTGCACAAGCAGGGAGAGCAACAGAGGGAGAGGAAGACAAGCAGACTCCCCGCTGAGCAGAGAGCCGGACGCAACTCGGGGCTCGATCCCAGAACCCTGGGATCATGACCTGAGCCGAAGGCAGACGCTTAACAGAGTGAGCCACCCAGGTGCCCCTACTTCCTGCCATTTTAAGCCAAGGGCATAGAAAGTCACTTTACTAATGTTCAGTTTCTCTCCCTTCATTCAAATCTGCTTTCTTTTGGTGGAGACTTGGAGTGGGTTCAGATTTCCTAGCATTTGGCTCTGAAGCATTACAGCATCTCTGAGACATCAAGGGAAAGACACGACATTAAAGGAAAGCTTTCATTAATATTAGTCAAGTAGCCACATTCAAGGTTATTTTGTAATATCTTCCTTAACCAAAGAGAAATGTTGCCACCACCCCATCCTTTAAATTATTACTTAAATATTACTTTACATACTAAAAAGTACTTTTTTGGTATGCTTTCATGAAAATGTTTTAGACTTTTTCAGTGATTTGACTCTAATACACTGTCTTCTAAAACTTTTCTATTTTGGGATATTTTTTTAAACTTTAAAATTTGAGCTCTTAATGAAAAGACAAGCCACAAACTGGGAGAACACATTTGAAAAATCACAGAATTGATAGAGAAATTGTATCTAGAATATGTAAAGCACCCTCAAAACTTTGTAATAAGAAAATAACCCAATTTAAAAAGTGGGCAAAAGGTGCACCTGGATGGCTCAGCAGCTCAAGTGTCTGACTCTTGATTTTGGTTCTGGAATGATCTCAGGGTCGTGAGATGGAGCTGTGCGTTGGACTCCATTCTCACCTTGGAGTTGGCTTCAGATTCTCTCTCTCCTGCTGCCTCTGCCCCTCCCCCAGTCATGTGCACGTAGTCTCTCTCTCAAAATAAATACAATCTTTTTTAAAAAGTGGGCAAAAAGATTTTAACAGATGCTTCACTAAAATGATACATGGATAGCAAACAAGCACATGAAGAGATACTCAGCATCATTAGGATGCAGGTTAAAACAACGAATACCACTACATACCTATTACAGTGTCTATTAAAAAGACTGACCATACCAAGGATTGATGAGGACGTGGAGCAACAACTCTCATACATTGCTGATGGGAATGTAAAATGGTACAGCCACTTTGAAGAACATTTTGGCAGTTTCCTAAAAAGATAAATATATACCATCAGTCTACTATTAGGTATTTACCCAAGAGAAATGAAAGCATATGTTCAGGGGTGCCTGGGTGGTTCAGTCGTTAAGCGTCTGCCTTTGGCTCAGGTCATGATCCCAGGGTCCTGGGATTGAGCCCCGCATTGGGCTCCCTGCTTGGCGGGAAGCCTGCTTCTCCCTCTCCCTCTGCCCCTCCCCTACCGATCGTGCACTCTCTCTCTCTTTCTCTCAAATAAATAAATAAAATATTTTTAAAAAAGAAAGCGTATGTTCATACAAAGACTTATACATGAAGGTCCCTAGCAGCTTTATTTATAATAGCCAAAAACTGAAAGCAACTCCAATGCTGATCAACAGATGAACTGGATAAACAAACTGTGGCACGTCCATATGATGGACTACTACTCAGCAATGAAAAAGGGATGAACTACTGCTACACATGCAATGTAGATGAATCTCAAAATTGTGTGGAACAAGAAGAGCCAGACAAGAGGAAATACTGTTTGCTTCTATTCTCTAAAATTCTAGAAAATACAGACTAATCACCAGTGACAGAAAGCAGATTGGTATTTGCCTGGGGGCTGGCATAGAGTGTGGGAGTCAGGGAAGACAGGCAGGCAGGAGGGAGGAATTACCAAGAGGCAAGAGGAGGGGTAGTGATGGATATGTTTATTATCATGATTATGGTGATGGTTTCATAGTTGAATACATACGTGAAAATTTACCAAAACGTGCTCTTGAAATATGTGCAATTTATCGTGTGTCAGTCATACTCTTAAAGCAGTTAAACTTTACACGCTTCAGCAGAAACTTAAAATTTTGATTCTTTTTCACTGTAATTCAAAAAACTGCTTTACAAGAGCTATTCCTTTATCTCTAAAACAAATATTCCTTAAGAAATATTTTCCTCTTCTTCCTTTAATTTGAGGTCAGCAAATTAAAACATTCAATCCAGGGCACCTGGGTGGCTCAGTTGGTTAAGCGGCTGCCTTCGGGCCAGGTCATGATCCTGGAATCCCAGGATCAAGTCCCGCATCAGGCACCCTGCTCAGCAGGGAGTCTGCTACTCCCTCTGACCCTCCCCCCTCTCATGCTCTCTCTCTCTCTCATTCTCTTTCTCTAATAAATAAATTAAATCTTTAAAAAAAAATTCAATCCAAGGACTTAAAAGGGTTCTTACTTTGATCTTGAAAGCCATTAAAGAAATCCAAAACCTGCCATGAAGTCTATAATGAAAAACAGAAGTGAGAAGCAATTCCATAATGCCTCAGTAAGAGGTCATGAGATATAGGAAGCTCCCGGTGAGGAGTACAGGTGAGGAGAAGCAAAGGCCTAGAGTGGGAAAAGCCCTACGCTAATGGATGATAAATATGGATTTTGGTTTTTTCACTTCTAGACATATCCTTTCAAAAATTTTTAGATTCTCTTCACCTTGATTTCATCTGTTAAATCATGGTAATAATAGCTATACTCCCTACCTTAAATAATGTGTGTAGTCAGAGGAGTAGGACCACTAACTTGGTATTGTCCCCATTAATTCAATAAGAGAGTAGGAATAAGGGGCACCTGGGTTGCTCAGTCCGTTGAGGATCTCTTACTTTCGGCTCAGATCATGATCTTAGGGTCGTGAGATCAAGCCTCCCATCAGGCTCTGCTCGTCCCTCTCCCTCTGCTCCTCCCCATGCTCACATGCTCTCTCTCTGTGTCAAATAAATAAATAAATAAAATCTTTTTTAAAAAAAAGTAACAGGGGCACCTGGGTGGCTCAATCAGTTAAGCATCTGCCTTCGGCTCGAGTCATGATCCCGGAGTCCTGGGATGGAGCCCCACATCAGGCTCCCTGCTCGGCGGGAAGCCTGCTTCTCCCTTTTCCCCTGCTCCTTCTCTCTCTCTAGCTCTCTCTCTCTCTTTAAAATAAATAAATAAAATCTTTAAGTAAATAAGAATAAGAAAGTTGCTATTTCTGCTGCAAATTTGTTTTACCATTGCTTCTCCTAGGGGATTTCACTACAGACACATAAGTATATCTAAAACAGAAGATTGATGGCCATTCTTTAACATTGGTATTTTTTTTATCTTTTTAAGGATTTTATTTATTTATGAGAGAGAGAGCGAGAGAATGAGTGGGGGTGGGGAGAGGCAGATGGAGAAGCAGGCTCCACGCTGAGCAGGGAGCCCAATGTGGGGCTCGATCCCAGGACCCCGGGATCACGACCTGAGCCAAAGGCTGACACTTAACCAACTGAGCCACCCAGGCGCCCCTTAACATTGTATTTAATGGGGACATTTCTGTCATTTTTCTTCTATAATTGATTTGAAAATTAAGGTAACTGCTAAGGGAACTTGTGAATACCCTTTCCTGATAATTAATCCGAGATGTCACTTTTAGAAATAAAATTTTTAATTCTTATTTTTCTTTTTGCAAATAAACATTGAATCTTAGTCAGAACGTGACATAAGAGCTGAACCTTTTTTTTATAACTTGACATCATTAATGCAAGTTGAGAATATTTATCAAACCTGAAAATGCATCATCAAGCACATCAGTGCTTTACTTCAGAGACAATCAAATATATTTATGCATTGGTTATAAATGGATAGAGCATAAAAAAAAAAAGAAGGTAGTGAAGATTTGGGCTGATATTTGTATTCACTAACAAGTATTAAATTATTTGCAAAGCTGTTTCATAATATTAAATTGGAGAGAATTATAACTAATTATAAAATTATAATTTCTGCTTATCTGTTCTAAATGCAGTCTAACTAGGATTAGCATCTATTGATTCACTTATGGTACAACTTGGTTTAAGAGAATCTTGGAATAAAGTTTAGGTCACTGTTCTCATGTTCTCAGTATATGGTTTTCATGACAGTTTCCAAGTTAGTATTTTTACTGATGTTTCTCCATAGATTGCAAAATTGGGAAATCTTCTAGAGTCAAAAGAAGACCACTGCAACAGACTCATTGAAGAAAATGACAAGTATCAAAGACATTTAGGCAACTTAATAAATAAGGTACAAATTTTCTTATAGAAATCTTTGTCTTTAAAAACGATGTCAGGGTGCCTGGGTGACTCAGTCTGTTAAGCGTCTGCCTTCAGCTCAGGTCATGATCCCGGGGTCCTGGAATCGAGTCCCACATCGGGATTCTGCAGGGAGCCTGCTTCACCCTCTGCCTCTGCCTCTCTCTCTCATGAATGAATGAATGAATGAATGAATGAATGAATAAAATCTTTTAAAAATAATAAAATAAAAAAATTAAAACTATGCCAAATACTAAAATAATAGAATTTTGGTGCTACAAAGGATCTGAGGAATGATGGAACATATTTATATTGATTCCTTTTACTTCTTTAATGACATTATAAATGCTCCCATTAGCTTTTTTGGCTGACACCTAGCAAAGAACATTGTGTGTATCTTTACCTCTGCCATCAGCAATTTCAGGTCTTAGTATTGCAACTTCATTTTGAGACTAATTATAAATGTTGCCAACCTAACATTGTAGTTTACCTCCTCAAAGCTGTATTAACTTTAACCAAACAGGCTCTAACCCTCAGTGGATACATCCACCACTTGTGTGGAAGACAACTGGATTATAGTTGACCCACTGAGGTTGTCCACTTTCTGACACTTCACTCCTTCATGATGAGTAGGCACTTTATAATTTTATTTCTATTCATATTCCTGATTTCAAACTGTAAGGAAGATGTTTTTCCTACTGTAAAACTACTGGTGGGAGTCACATAATTGAATGTCAGTGTGTAGAGATTTTTTTTTTAAGCAAAAAATAAAAATTCTACAATTTATCAGAGAATAATTTTTAGCTTCTTTTTTCAAGGTTACCTCATATGAAGAAATAATCAAATGTGCTGACCAAAGACTCGAGATATCCCACTCCCAGATTGCATAGTAAGTTGAAAAAGCTTAGTTTTTAATTTTGTAAACATTTACTCATATTTTATTTTGCTCTCTGGCTTGCCAAGTTTCTGTTCTTAGACTCCTAGGAAGAGGAAAATAGTGCAGTTTTTATAAATTAAGACTTTTTTTTTCAATAAAAGAGTCTGTTTAATGTCTGACTACTTGAATAAGTGGATTTTCATCTTCCTTTCTCAGAGCTCCCTTTGATTTCAGCGAGGAGGGAGGTGATGGAATTAGTGAGAGATATCCAAAAATTTCAGAAGATATTCCATGGTATTCAAGTAAAATAACCTTGCAATGCTTAGACTTTATCCACAAAATGTTTTTGAATGCACACCAAATGAATCATACATGTACGTTTATCAAGAACCAACTAAGCTCTCATTAGAATGAGATTCAGCTTGAAAATACTCCAAAATTTTTAAATTCTGCAAATTTTTTCACTCATTATCCTCATTTCCCATATGCTCTTTCCTCATCCTTCCTGCAGTTTCATTTATACTGTGCTGACTAGCACTAGAGCTTAAGCAAAAGGTCTAATCTTACATAGAAAGACACCCCAAATATGAACTTTCTATAGGGTAACTCACCACAAGATCATTGAAAGACAGTGTGGGTATTTGTACCTTGGGAAGTTTGTTTTTGTTTTTCACTATTATTTCTAAGCAAAATGAATGTTAAAACAATTTTCTGGTTTTTCAGACTGACATTGACAAGTTTTAAATTTGGAGGAAGGAGATGTTATTACACACTCAAGAGAAGTAAAATAAGGCTCCTCCTTAACTTATTACCAAGAAAACTCAGCCAATGTTCAATCATCATGGGCTCATAAAATATAAAAATAATGAATAACCTAATATTTCTAAAACAATATCAAACAATCACTCAGGCCATATTGCTTTGCCCCAGTTATTTTTAAAATTCAAATTGTTTTATTAAACTTGTATTTCAGAAAACTGGCTTATCCAGTTTGTGTTCAAGAAGAGACTTGACATCTGAGTTCTATAAAATGTACTAAAATGGTTATCAACTTTGGCTGCTTATTAGAATTCCCCTGAATGTTTTTTAAAAAACATCCAATGCCCAGACTCTACTCCCCAATCCAATAAGCTAAAATATCACATGGGTTCTGGGCAACAGTGTATTGTCCAGGAGATTAGAATGTCTGGACAGTTCAAGAACCCCTGCCGCAAATCGTGTGAATTGATTTAAGTGATCAGGATTGTCATCTTTTTAATCAAATATAGTCTATTATATTCATGAAGATAGTTTTTTAATTACAGTGAATTAGCTTTGATCTTATTAAAAGGTGTATGCTGCTTCAAAAATTATCGAATACATCATTAGAGAAATGTTTCTTTCAATTGGTCTAGTGTATTCTGTTAAAATTTAGGGGTATTTGAAGGATCTTTCTTCAAATATTTTCACTGGATATTCTGTAAGTTTTCAATTTACATGCCTTGGATCTTAGAAACAGCTGCTTCCTTATAAAAGCCCTTAATGGTATATGACTTTTCTAAAAGACTAAATAAAAGAAGGAACCTGGTGAGGTCCATTTTGTACATGCAGTCAGAGTAATCTTTGTGAAATATTAATCTGATCATGCTCCTTAAAACACTTTTAGTGATTTCTTCCATCGCTCTTATTTTTTTTCTTTCAAATTTTTATTTAAATTCTAGTTAGTTAACATACAGTGCAATAGCAGTTTCAGGAGTAGAATTTGGTGGTTCATCACCTACATATAACACCCAGTGCTCATCACAACAAGTGCCCTCCTTAATGCCCATGACCCATTTAGTCCATCCCCCCCACCCAACTCCCCTCCAGCGATCCTCAGTTTGTTCTCTATTGTTAAGAGTCTCTTACAGTTTGTTTCCTTATGATTTCACTCATATGTGGAATTGAAGAAACGAAACAGGTGAACATATGGGAGGGGGGTAAAGAAGGGTGGGGGAAACAAACCATCGCTTTTAGATAAAGGCAAAAATTCTTAACATGGCCTACAAGTTTTTTCAAGATACAGTTTCTTCCTGCCTTTCCAACCCCATCTCACCATTCCCCCCCTGCCTTGCTTTCAGCCACACTGGAGATATTATAGCTTCTCAAATGCATCACATTCCCTTTTGCCTCATGGTGTTAGTATAGGCTGTTCTAGCTGGAATGCTCAGGCTACCCGCACCCCAGTTATCTCCTACTGTCCCTCAAATCCCCACTCAAATGCCCTTTCCTCAGAGATACATTCACTTTCTTCCCAGTCTGAGTAAAGCAGCTTTTCCACAGTGCTGCAGAGATTGAAGTCATCATGCATCTCTCCCCCAAACACTGCTTTCTCTGTTAACACCTATAGCCAGATCAGTTTCAGATACAGAAATCCCTGCTCCATACACTCCTGGTTCAGGAATACTTTTCTATGAAATTTTAGACTTGTTCTCTCTACCCTACTCCCCATGACATCTATGACAACATCATGGTGAGAGGTGGATCCTCTCACAAAAATATCCCAGTTCAACACATACAGATGGCCAACAGGTACATGAAAAGGTGCTCACATCACTAATCATCATGGAGATGCAAGTCAAAACCACAATGAGAAATCACCCCACAGCTGTTAGAAGGGCTATTATTAACAAGACTAGAAGTAACAAGTGTTGGCTAAGATGTGGAGATGTGCACTGTTGGTGGGAATGTAAATTGGTGCAGCCACTGTGGAAAACAGTATGGAAGTTCCTCAAAAAATTAAAGATACAACTACCATATGATTCAGCAGTTCTACTTCTGGGTATTTATTCGAAGAAAATGAAAACTATCTTGAAAAGATACATGCACCGCCATGTTCATTACAACATTATTTACAATAGTCAAGATATGGAAACAACCTACGTATCCATCAGTGGATAAATGGATAAAGAAAACATGGTATATGTATGCAATGGAATATGATTCAGCCATAAAAACAAAGGAATGCAGCCATTTGTGACACCATGGATGGACCTTGAGGGCATCATTTATTTATTTTTTATTTATTTATTTATTTTTTAAAGATTTTATTTATTTGAGAGAGAGAGAATGAGAGAGAGCACATGAGAGAGGGGACGGTCAGAGGGAGAAGCAGACTCCCTGCCGAGCAGGAAGCCCGATGCGGGACTCGATCCAGGGACTCCAGGATCATGACCTGAGCCGAAGGCAGTCGCCTAACCAACTGAGCCACCCAGGCGCCCGAGGGCATCATTTAAATGAAATGAGTCAGAGAGAGAAAGACAAATACCATCTGATCTCCTTTATATGTGGGATCTAAAACACAAAACAAAACAAGTTCATAGATACAGAGAATAGATTAGTGGTTGGTGTGGGGTTGGGGAGGGTCAGTGAAATGGGTAAAGGGGGTCAAAGGTACAAACTTCCAGTTATAAAATAAGTCCTTGGGATGTAATGTACAGCATAGTGACTATAGTTAATAATATTGTGTTGCATATTTGAAAGTTGCTAAGAGAGTAAATATTAAAATTTCTCATCACAAGAAAGGAATTTTTTGTAACTATATGGTAACAGATGGTAACTAGACTTACTGTGGTGATCATTTCACAATATATACAAATACTAAAACATGTTGTACATCTGAAACTAATATAAAATGTTAGTCAATTATACCTCTCTAAAAATTATTTTAAAAACCACAAGTCAGATTGCACTATTTTAAAGTGCTTTAAATCTTTGAATAGCCTCCCCTCCACACTCAATATAAATGCAGACTCCACTACAGCTTCTAAAACCCTACATAATCTTTTTTTTTAAGATTTTATTTATTTATTTGAGAGAGAGAGCATGAGAGGGGGAGAGTCAGAGGGAGAAGCAGACTCCCTGCTGAGCAGGGAGCCCAATGTGGGACTCGATCCTGGGTCTCCAAGATCATGACCTGAGCCAAAGGCAGTTGCTTAACCAAATGAGCCACCCAGGCGCCCAACCCTACATAATCTTACCTTGTACTGTTTCTCTCTAACCTCATTATTCCTTTTAGTTCCTAGAACTTGTCAAGACTGCCCTGTTTCAGGGCATCCACTCTTGCTCTTTCTTCTGCCTGGAATGTTTTCCCCTGAGCTGACATTCTATCCTTCTCGACCTTTAGTCTCTGTTCAAATGTCACCTCCTCAGAGAAGGCCTTCTACGACCACACTATCTAACATGACCCTTCTTCCAGTTCCTTGCTGTCACAGAAATACATACATACATACATAATACATACTCAATGAACAGGATAGACAGCAGATTGGTCGCAGAACAAGAAAGCATTAGTGAGTTAGAGAAAAAAAATCCATACACTGTATCACACAGACACACATGAAATAAAGGTCAAGTGAAACAGTGCTCAGAGTAGAAAAATCCAAAATATCTGAAATTTTATAAAAAGAGAATAGAATAGTGGAGAATAAACTATGGAGGATTTTTCAGAATAAGGTTTTAATCTGAAGGGGATAAATGTAAAGAAACCAAGACCTCGCAGTGTTGTTGTGAAACTAAAGAAAACTAGATAAAAGGCTACCTTAAAACCAGGCTTAGAGGGCGCCTGGGTGGCTCAGATGGTTAAGCGTCTGCCTTCGGCTCAGGTCATGATCTCAGGGTCCTGGGATCAAGTCCCGCATCGGGTTCCCTGCTCAGTGCAGAGCCTGCTTCTCCCTCTCCCTCTGCCACTCCCTCTGCTTGTGCTCTTCTGTCTATCTCTCTGTCAAATAAATAAATAAAATCTTTATAAAAAAAAAAAAACAAACAAACCCAGGCTTAGAGAAATGAGGTACCTGAAAATGAAAGCCAGTTTGACTGACAGCTCTCCTGTTGATAGCAACAATAAAAGCCAGAAGAGAATGGAATACCATCTGCAAAGTGCTGATAAGAATCAGTGCCAACTGAGAATGTTTTAGCCACTTGAACTCTTGAAGAAATGCAGATGAGATACAGGAATTTCAGACGAAAACATAGATCATTTACTGACAATAAGACTTTACTATCGGAAACTTCAAAATGAAATGAAAATGGAGAAATGACAACAGGTGCAGCAGAGATTAAAGAGATATAATAAAAACTTTATACTAATGATTTTGAAAAATTAGGTGAAATGCAATTTTTGTAGAAATATTTTTATAGAAAAAAATTTTTTTTATGAAAGGTTTTTTTAAAGATTTTATTTATTTATTTATTTATTTAAAGAGCTAGCGAGCAGGGGTGAGGGGCAGAGGGAGAAGAGAAAATCCTAAGCAGATTCCCCTGCTGAGAGCAGAGCCTGATGCAGGGCTCCATCTCATGACCTTGACCTGAACTGACTGAGCCACCTAGGTGCCCCTACAAAAAAAATATTTTCAGATTGACTCAGGGAAGAAAGAAAATCGGAATTACCATTAAGCATATTAAAGCAGTTTTTTGATTAATAAAAGAAAGAACAAGAACCATATGATACTCTCAATAGATGTAGAAAAAGCATTTGACAAAGTACAGCATCCTTTCTTGATCAAAACTCTTCAGAGTATAGGGATAGAGGGCACATACCTTAATATCATAAAAGCCATCTATGAAAAACCCACAGCGAATATCATTCTCAATGGGGAAAAACTGAGAGCCTTTCCCCCTAAGGTCAGGAACATGGCACGGATGTCCACTATCACCACTGCTATTCAACATAGTTATTAGAAGTCCTAGCCACAGCAATCAGACAACAAAAAGAAATAAAAGGCATCCAAATTGGCAAAGAAGTCAAACTCTCACTCTTTGCAGATGATATGACACTTTATGTGGAAAACCCAAAAGGCTCCACCCCGAAACTGCTAGAACTTATACAGGGATACAGTAAAGTGGCAAGGATATAAAATCAATGCACAGAAATCAGTTGCATTCCTATACACCAACAACAAGACAGAAGAAAGAGAAATTAAGGAGTCGATCCAATTTACAATTGTACCCAAAACCATAAGATCCCTAGGAATAAATCTAACCAAAGAGACAAAGAATCTATACTCAGAAAACTATAAAATACTCACACATTTCCCAAGCATTTAATAAACAGATAAACCCAATCTTAAGCAAATTATTTCAAAAGATAGACAAATAATATAATCTTAACATTAAAACCAGACAAGGACAGCCTGAGAAGTAAATGATAAGCTAATTTCGTCATAAATATGCAAAAATTCTAAACAAAAATTATAAACAAACTGAACCCAGCAATGAAAAAAACAACAGTGCATCCTGAGCAAATTAAATTTATCACAGCAATGAAAGGTTCAACGTTAGAAAGTCTATTAAAAATCCACCACATTAAATGATTAAGGGAGAAATTATTTCAGTAGGTTCAGGAATTCTACACCAGTATACATTAAAAGTTTTTTTTTTTGTTTTGTTTGTTTTTTTGGTTTGGGTTTTTTTTTTTTTTTGGAGAGCTCATGACAAAAATACAAGTAAGGGAATCTTCTACTTTTTGATTAAGAGTTATGTTCCCATCACCTTCCCCCCCAAAAAATCAAAGCCAATATAATAATCAACTGAAACACTCCAAGTATGTCATCTAAAAATTAGGAACAAGATGAATAAACCCATGGTTGTTGCCAATTCTATTTAGCAATATCCTAGCAGTCCTCACCAGTGCCATAAGAAGAGAGAAAGAAAAATTGTAGGGTCGCCTGGGTGGCTCAGTCAGTTAAGCATCTGACTCTTGGTTTCGGCTCTAGTCATGATCTCAGGGTTGTGGGATTGAACCCCACTTTGGGCTCCGTGCTCAGCACTGAGTTTGATTGAGATTCTCTCTCCCTCTGCCCCTCCTGTTCATGCTCTCCCTCTCGCAAATAAATAAATCTTTTTAAAAAAAGAAAGAAAAGTTATAAAGATTGGTCTGAAGGTAACAAAATTGTTATTATTTTCCAATGATATAATTACCTACACAGAAAGCCCAAAACAATCTACAGATATATTACTGATATTTTTAGTAAAAATGACAATTAAAAGAAAAAGTTCCAAAGTCAACCGAATTTCTGTACATGACCAACACACTGTAAATAAATGCAAGCTTTAAAACTCTATTTATAATAGCAAACAAAAGTTCCCTACAAAAAATGTGCATGAACTTTGAGAAGATATGTTCGTCCTTATTGGAAGATTAAAGAATAAGTAAGTGGAGCACAATAAAATATCCATGGAGTAATGGGTTGAAAGTTGTAATAAAAAAAAAAGCCTCAGTTCATTTCCTGTCCTGGCCTCCCATCTTCTCCAGCCATGCTACCTTGTTATTCTAGGTGATCTTCCACTTCATTGTCTATCCATCATGGACTGTACTATATAGGCTTTAAGGGCACTTATCAGTGTCCTTTACATTAATGTATTCACTATTTACCACCCATAGAGTACCCCCTGAGTCCTCGAAGAATATCTCCAAGGCCATGTCTCTTACAGAGAACACTGGATTCACAGATAACAGTTCCTGCCCTTTCATAGCAACTGTGGTTTCTACCCACATGAAGTCCCCACAAATGTTTTTCCATGCAAAACCAAATCAGAAGTCGCAGAAAATCCCAGAGTGTAAATCCATAACCTTTCTTCCTAATTCCATTATAGTCTGAGTACAGGGTGATCAACAATATTTGCTTGGCTTGAACATGCTATTAAAAGTCCATGGCTTGGGGGAGCCTGGGTGGCTCAGTCGGTTAAGCGTCCAACTCTTGGTTTCGGCTCAGGTCATGATCTCAGGATCATGATATCAAGCCCCGTGTCAGGCTCTGCACTCAGCACAGAGTCTGCTTGAGATTCTCTCTCTCCCTCTCCCATGGCTCCTCCCCCCGCCAAATAAATAAATAAATAAAATCTTAGAATCCATGGTTTAAATACCTTGATCACAGAGAATATAGTGAACAATGGTTCACTGCTCTATTTATAGTCATAATTCCATTGTATTTCTTTGATTTTTTTTCTTTTTTAATGAAAAAGGGTTGGCATGAGAAAAAGGAGAGGTAAAAGTAAAGGGCAGAACAATAATTATGGCATATAGAAAACATGGCTCCCTACAAGATATCCGAGTCCTAATCCCTGAAGCCTGTGAACGCTACCTTATATGGGCAAAAGAAAGGGGGAAGTCAGCTCTATGTGAAGTAATCCTATTAACGTAAGACAACATATTAAAAATTAAAAAGGAAAAAGCATGTGATCAGACAGAAAAAACATTTCACAAAAGCCATTCCTGATACAAACTCCAAACAAACTAGGAATAGAAGGGAACTCATTCAATTATGAGCAGCATCCATAGAAAAAGTACTGTTAAAAATCATACTTAATAATGAGAGACTGAATACTTTTTCAAGATCAGAAATAAGACTTCTATTTACATTGTACTGGAAGTTCTGCCCAATGCAATCAGAAAGAACTAAAAGACATTCAAGTTGAAAATGAACAAGCAAAAATGAATTTGTTTTTTAAATGACATGATCATCTGTGTAGAAAATCTGATGAAATCTACAAAAAGCTACTAGGACTATTAAGAGATTAACAAAGTTGGGGGGCACAAGATCAATATACAAAAATCAATTGTATTTCTGTATACTGAGTCTTCCATAGACATTTGCATTTGAGGTGATGACTCCTGCAAGAGAATTTCCTATCTCTGTGGTGGGCTGAGTAATGGCTTCCCAAAGAGATGCAAGTTCGATTCCCTGGAACTTGAGAATGTGCCCTTATCTGGCAAAAGGGACTTGGCAGATGTGATTAAATTAAGGATCTCGAGATGGCAAGACTATCCTGGATTATTCGGGGGAGCCCGAAATGCAGTCATAATTGTTGTTGTAGGAGGGAGGCAGAGAGAAATTTGATGACAAGAAGGCAATGTGATCAAGCAAGCAATCAGGCAGAAAAGGCGATGTGCTGACAGCCAGGCACCAAGGAATTAGGACTGCAGCCAGACATGATGGAAAAGGCAAGGCAAAGAATACTCCTCCTGAGCCTCTGGAGGGAGCACATCCTTGCTGACACCTTGATTTTAGCCCAGTGCCTCTGATTTCAGACCTCTGACCTCTCAAATAAATATGTGTTGTTCCAAGCCAAGGTTGTAGTAATTTGTTACAGCAGTCACAGGAAAGTAACAAACTGTCCCTGGATGGGAAAGCAAGTTTGGGAAGAGACTATTTTAATTGAATTTGACCTCCTAGAGGCAAAAAGGGAACCTGCTGGTATCTCTCTTGTTGAAAGCCATAAAAGTAAAACACAAGTAAATCTCTAACAGGCATCTGAGTGCTATGATCCTTCCTATGACACTATCACACATTTCCCCATGTTAAAGCAGCTCACAGTTCAGGGGCTGTGTTTTTAACATGTTACACACACCCCCAGGATGATGTTGAGTTTCTTCATGGGGAATCAGGGAACCAGGGATCAGTTCTCTACCCACTGTCTGTGTAAATGAATAGAACATTGAACTGTCACTTTATAGGTTTACTCTGTCTACTTTCCCTCCTCACTACTGGAACCCCTAAAGGGAGAAACTGATTAAATTATTGGAGTTGCTAGGAAAGAATCCCAAATTGTCAGGGTGCCTGGGTGGCTCTGTCGGTTAAGCGGCTGGCTTCGGCTCAGGTCATGATCCCAGGGTCCTGGGATCGAGTCCCACGTTGGGCTCCTTGCTGCACGGGAAGTCTGCTCTTTCCTCTCCCTTTCCCTGCTCCCCCTGCTTGTGCTCTCGCTCTGTCAAATAAATAAATAAAATATTAAAAAAAAAAAAAAGAATCCCAAATTGTCGTATGGTGAGGTAGATGGATGAGAGACTTTGACAAAAAGCCAGATTTGCCATTTATATTCATCTTCTCAAATCCTCCAGTGAGTCCAACAAAATATCAGTTTAGAAAAGTCAATTTTAGTCATAAAATTCAATTGTTTCTCCCTCCAGTTTAGAAGAGAGAAATAAACATTTGGAAGACTTAATTAAGCCCAGAGAGAGAGCAAGAAAAAAAACCACAGTAAGTTTTTCTCTTTTTTTCTAAATAATAATGTCTTTAACTTTAAAACATAAGTATATAAATAATACATCTTTTCTCCTTCTTTTAATTTAAGATAAACTATATGCAAGTGCTTGGTATTTCGCCTAGCATAAAATAGTTGCTTCATAAAAGTTTTTTGTAGAACTTGAATTGGAAAGCCAGAATACCTGCCCTCGTGGAACTTACAATCACCTCTAAGGAAGATATTATAAAGATTATGAGCTAAGATTTTTGTCTACAGCAAAACAGCTTATATATGTATTTTATGACCAGATTTTCTTTTTTTTTTTTTAAAGATTTTATTTATTTATTCAGGAGAGACAGAGAGAGGGAGAG